GTAGAAAGAGGGTTTTTTGTTGTTGTTAATACTCACCTGAGGATATTTTCTCCATTGACCTTTTTAGAGAGAGTGGAAGGGAGAGGGAGAGACAGAGAGAAAATTGATAAAAGAGAAATGAGACAGAATCAAATCTTGACTGGGTTTGAACCTGCAGCCCTTCAGTAGTATAATATTACTACACTAGCTGACTTTCTAACCACTGAGCAAACCAATTAGGGCAGAGAGAGGGTTCTTTGCAAAGAAGTGTGAGAGGGAAATGGAGGTGGGGGAGTAGTAGAGAGTAAAGGGGTGATAGATGACGGAAAGAGACATGACTTAGGGTAGTAAACACACAACAACATACAGATGATGTGTTATAGAATTGTATTCCTTAGCCCTATGGAATATTATTAACCAATGTAATCCCAATAAGTTAAATAAAAATTAAAAGTGCAATAGAAAAATGAAGTGTGATCATAGCAAGCCCATTAAATCTATGGCTGGTGAATCAGTTGAGATACATCTGTCTTACTACGTGTTGGGTGGCCAGACATCTCTAAATTGGTTCCCCTTTCCTCTGACCCCGTATCCACCCAGATTAACGTTCATTTTCTCCTTTAGACTTTCCCATCTCAGTAAATGGCACTACTACCGTCCACCTAATTGCTTAAGGCATAAACTAAATGCACTCTATTACAGAGTGTGGGGCTTTTTGGGTTTTTTTTTTTTTCATGCTTTTTTTATATTATGGTGTAAAAAAAAAAGAATCTGGTCTGTATGGTATCAATTCTTTTGTTATTTATTGAGACTGGCTTTTCAGTAAAATGTTATGTTTTTCCGTGTGTACTTGAGAACATGTGCTCTCATTTAGGTGAAGAATTCCGGCTATATCTATGAAATCAAGCTTGTTAACTGTGTTGTTCATATCTTCTATATCCTTATTAATATTTGTCAGCCTTTTCTGTTTCTATGGGAAATGTGGTAAAAAAAAAAATCTCCCTCTGTAATAAAAGATTTGTTAACTTATTGCAGTTCTGTCAATGGCATTTTGCTTTACATCTATTGAAGATGTAATGTAAGTGACATACAAATTCATAATTGCTATATCTCCTTGGTAAGGTATTTATTATTTGATAAAATTTTTATTCCTGCTGTGGCTAGTGTGGCTCAGATGGTTAGGTGCTGTCCTGTGCATCAAAAGGTTGCCAGTTTGATTTCCGGTCAGGGTACATGTCCATGTTGGATTGCAGGATCCATCCCCAGTGGGGGACATGCAGGAGGCAGCTGATTGATGTTTTGCTCTCACATCAATGTATTTCTCTCTCTCTCTCTCTCTCTCTCTCTCTCTCTCTCTCTCTCTCTCTCTCAAAATCAATTAAAAATCTTTTTTTCAAAAAAACTTTATTCCTAACAATACTTTTTACCTTAAGGTCTATTTTATCTGGCACTAATATTACTACATTTGCATTTTGGGGGCTATTTCTGGCCATCATTTATTTTCCATTCATTTCTTTTCAACCTTTTTATGCTTTTATGTTCTAACTATGTTTATGATAAACAGTATATAGCCAGATTTTTTTCTTAATCTGATTTTAACTGACAAGTAAATCTATTTATATGTTAAAATTACTAACATATTTGGAACTATTTCTACAATTCTGTGTTGTTTTGTGTGTGTTTTTAATCCTCACCCGAGGATATTTTTCCACTGATTTTTAGAGAGAGTGGAAAGACAGAAACATCAATGTGAAAGAAGCACGTCAATTGGTTGCTTCCTGCACATGCCCTGACCAGGGCCCAGGCTGAGGAGGAGCCTGAAACCAAGGTACATGCCCTTGACCAGAATTGAACCCAGGGCATTTCAGTCTGCAGGTCGAGGGTCTATACACTGAGCCAATCTGGGTAGGACTCTCTCTATATACATTTTTTTATTTATAATGCTTTTTCCCCCCTGATTCTCTCCCCACCCCCTTGCATGCCTTTTATTGGATTGATCTGGCTTTATTAATTCCTCTTTAATTTTATTGACTACGTTTCTATGGTCTTGATAATTATCTGTACCTTTTTAACATGTTCATGAGAAAGTCTAAAGTAAGTTACCTTATTTTCATCCTGAATAATCAAGGGCCTTCCAAGGATTCACTTCCAATCACCCTCCCTCCTAACTAGCTCATTGTTATTATCTAGTATTTTAGTTTAAACCTCACATAATGTTATTCCCTAGATTAAAATCCTTCAGTAGCTTCACCTTAGGCAAAATAACATCTAAACCCTTTGCCGTTGTGTATAACACTTACCATGGCCTGGTCCCTGCCTGCTTCTCCAATCTCCTCTCTTGTCACTCTTCTCCACTGCTCACTGCCCTCCAGCTACAACCATCTTTCAGTTCCTGCAACAGCCTATGATTGGACACCAATTTCTTTCCCACTTCAAATCCTAGCCACATACTTTTCCTTCTATTAGTATGGTCTTCTATTCTTCCTATTACTGCTAGCTCTCTCTCTCTTCTCTGCTTTCTGGTAAATATAATATCCTCAAAGAAGTTTTCTCTTGCCACCCTATGTAGATTAAGTCCTCTCCATCCCATAATTTTCTGTACCAGCACTCTGCTTATTTCTTTCATGTACTTATCACAAGTCATAATTAATTACATATTAGAATGTGTTTCCTTATTTAGTGCCTGCCTCTCTGGCCAAATTTGGCTCTATAAGAACATCAGTAGGAATGAAAAAGTGAAAAGAAACAATTTTAAAAAAAGATTTACGAATTTTTATATCAAATTAGGTGAGAGAGCAAATAGAAGGAAAAGTTAAGTGTAATTCTAAGATTTCTTCTTTGGAAAACTATAAGTATAGAGATACCACTTGACAGAAAACTGTAAGTATAGAGATACCACTTGACAGAAATAGAATAATTGGGGGGGAAATTCAATTTGAATAAAATTGAGGAGGAAGAAAATTTATTTCTGCTTAGTAATATTAAGGCTAAAGTAGTGGTGGTACATCCAAGTGAAGCTATGAGAGAAAATCAGAATTGGTGGTGAAACATGGGTTAGAGGTCAGGATTAGAGATGTAGTTGTGGAAGTAACTCACATATTTTTCATTCCTTATCAATTTAATATTCAATTTTTCATTGAGCCACTCCAAACCTTCTGCTTTCTCCCCTTCATTCAACAAATATTATTCCTGGCTCTGTGCTAAATGCAAATATCTTTGCAAAATTTAGCTAAGATGGATGCTATTCCTGCCTTGTGGAGCTTACAGGATAAAGAGAGAAAAAGACAATTCAGTAAGCAGTTGCAGTCGAGTATGATAGAACACTCCATATGCACTAAATAAGAGTGTCCTTAAGAGAACATAGCAAGAGCACATCCCAAGTTTATGGGGCCAGGTAAAGTTTTCTGGGAAAAGTAATGCTTTACTAAACCCAAAGGAGAATAAGGAATTAGTGGGGAGCAGGGAAGGGGAGCGGGGGAGGAAAGCAGCTCCTTGAGTAGCAGAAACAAATCCTTTAAAGCAATAAAAAAAAATGCATGATTTAATATTCCTACTTTTGTCAAGGAAATATTATCTACCCAACCCTTTCAGAATTTTAAAAAGTTGATTGAGGTGTAATTTACATACAATAAAATTCACTCTTTTAAGATGAAAAGTTCTATGAATTTTGACAAACATATACAGTTTGCCATTGCAAAAGTTTTAACCATTGCAAAAACCAAGATACATAGTATTTCTATTACAAAAAAAAGTCTTCATATCTCTTTGTACTTCCCCTTCCCTCAGCCATCCAGCAAGTGCTGACTGGATTTCTGTCCCTATAGTTTTCCTTTTTCCGAAAGTCATATGAATGGAATCATATAGTATGTTGTCTTTTGAACCTGGCTTCCTACACAGAGCATAATGCTCTTGAGTCATTATAGTGTTGCATGTATCAGTAGCTTGTTCCTTTGTATGAGGAGCAGTATTCCATTATATTGGCATGACATAATTTATTTCACCAGTTGATAGACATTTGGCACATTTCTAACCTTAAAAAAAAAGTGGACAAAGCTGCTACAAAACAAACATATAGGTTTTTTGTTGGGGTAAGTCTTCATTCCTCTTAAGTAAGAATTGGATTGTTTGGTCAAAGTAATTGCATGTTTAATTTCATAGAAATTGCCAAGAGTTCCCCAAAGTGGCTGGACCATTTTGTATTCCCATTAGCAATGAATACAATTTCCAGTTGTGCTCCATCATTACCCGCATTTGATAGTATCAGTTGTTATTGTTTTACATTTCAGCCATTCTACTAAGTGTGCAGTGATATCTCATTGTCATTTTAATTTGCATTTTCCTGATGACCAATCATGAAACATCTTTTCCAGTACTTACTTGCCATCTGTATATCTTGTTTTATAAAATATTCATATCTTTTGCCCATTTTTTTTCTTTATTGGGTTTCTTGTTTTCTTAAGAATCTCTTACATATTTGAGTTACCAATACTTTATCAGATACAGTGGTGCCTCACACAACGAACTTAATTCGTTCCAGGAGCAAGTTTGTTATGCGAAAAGTTCATTATGTGAAACGCGTTTTCCCATAACAATACATGTTAAAAAAAATAATTCGTTCTGTAGCATAAAATATGCTAAGATGACATAAAAAAAGATAAATTTTTTGTTATTATTTTTATTTAGATACATCATGATATAAAAAAATATTGAGTTTAACTTAAAAGGACGACTGCCGTGATACGTGCGTGATTTAATTCGTAATGAAGAACGATTGCCGCGATACGTGCTTAAGTTAAGCGCAGTGACTAACGACTGCCTGCAGTGCCTGCGCGGAAGGATGCAATACATCGGCAGCGATTGTGGAAGCTCGGGCGAAGCAGTCGTGGAAGCTCGGGCAAAGCGGTCGTGGAAGCTCGGGTGACTTCGTTGTGTGAAACGAAGTTCGTTGTATGAATCATGAAATGAAGTTCGTTGTGTGCAGCGTTCGCTGTGCGAGGCGTTCTTTATGCGAGGCACCACTGTATGTATATGTCTTGCAAATGTTTCTTCCCTGTGTGTGCCTTGTTTTCTCATTTTCTTGAAGTGTCTGTCAAAGAACAGAATATTTTCTTTTTCTGCCCAGCCTCTTTTTAAAAAAAATATATTTTATTGATTTTTCACAGAGAGGAAGAGAGAGGGATAGAGAGCTAGAAACATAGATGAGAGAGAATCATCGATCAGCTGCCTCTTGCACACCCCCTACTGGGGATGTGCCCGCAACCAAGGTACATGCCCTTGACTGGAATCAAACCTAGGACCTTTCAATCCACAGGCCAATGCTCTATCCACTGAGCCAAACCAGTCCCGGATCTGCCCAGCCTCTTAATCCTATTCCTTCTCATTCTTTTCTTTTAAAAAAATATTTTTTTTATTGGTTTCAGAGAGGAAGGGAGAGGGAGAGATAGAAACATCAATAATGAGAGAGAATCATTGATCGGCTGCCTCCTGCATGCACCCTACTGGGGATCAAACCCGCAACCCAAGCATGTGCGTTGACCGGGAGTCGAACCGTGACCTGCTAGTTCATAGGTTGAGCCTCAACCATTTCTCCTTCATTTCCCTGCCACACATTTGGAATGAATGTTCTCTAGAAGCCACCATTTCTTTACAAAACCTGAAATTTTGCTTCCATTCATACCACACTACCAAAACTGACCTCTGGATGTCACCAAAAACCTCTTTCATGTGAATTCCAATAATACTTTTCTAGACTATAATTCTCTACTTCCTTTTGGCATAACCCTTCCTTACAAAAATTATTTTTTAACCTCTTACTTTCAACTTGCCCTAAAAACTGATCTAAGGCTGTATAGTATTCCCTTAGGGATTAATTCAATTGGTATTTAATGTCATGCAAACAAGAATTTCACTGATGAGTAATGTCAACTATTTTTTTTGTTCTGAATTCAGACTAAAGCAGTAAACATCAAATGATTTTAAATTACTTATAGGTAACTAATTTTCTTAAATGAGTTGAATATCACCATTTTCTTTTTCAATGACTTCATTGTTTTTTAAATATATATATATATAGCACACACCGCCTAACGACATTTTAGTCAATGATGGACAGCATATAAGACAATGGTAGCACAAAATTATAAGGAAACTGAAAATTTTCTATTACCTAGTGATGAAGCCTCATGAGATCTTAGCACAACCTACAATGCATAATACTTAATAAGGTGTACAAGGTGTTTTGTGTTTTATTTTGTTTTGTTTTGCTGTATTAATCCTCACTGAGGATATTTTCCCATTGATTTTTAGAGAGAGTAGAAGGGAGGGAAGGGGGGAGAGAGAGAAACATGGACATGGCAAGGATCAAGCCTGCACCAGAGGTGATGCCCTCGGCCAGTCCGCTGGCCGACGTTCTATCCACGGAGCCAAACCAGCTAGGGTGTGGTTGTGTTGTAAGCTAAGTATTAACACAAAAGAGTAGAAAAGTTTTTTACTATTATTATTTATTTTTGTTGCTTGCTTTGTTAATTCTCACTCCAGGATCTTTTTACCAGGTTGCCTCCAGCACGTGGCCCGGGATGAAGATCAAACCTGAAACCCAGGTAACATGCCCTTCACTGGGAATCAAACCTAAGACCCTTCAGTGGGCAGGACTGACACTAACCACTTAATAACACTGTCCAAGGCTAGAAAGGTTTTTTTAAGTTAAAAGTTGCCCTGGCTGGTGTGGCTCAGTTGGTTGGAGTGTCCTTTCATAGGCCAGAAAGTGGCAGGTTCAGTTCCTGGTCAGGGCACACACCCAGGTTTTGGGCTTGGGTTTCAATCCCTGGTCAAGGCATGTACAGAAGGCAGCCAACTGATGGATGTTTCTCTTTCACATCAATGTTTCCTCTCTCTCTCTTTCTCTCTCTAAAACAAATTTTAAAAAAATTAAAAGTTTGTAAAGTTACAGTAAGCTAAGGTTATTTATGCTTTTTAGCTTAATAATTTGTATTGAATTTATCAGGGTGACATTGGTTAATAAAATTATATAGGTTTCAGGTGTACAATCCTATAATACATCTGTATATTGTATTGTGCGTTCAGTACCCCAAGTCAAGTCTCTTTCCATTACCATTTATCCCTCTATATCCTCTTCTACTCCCTCCCCACCCCCTTTCCTCTGGCAATCACAATGTTTCTATCAGGTTTGTTGTTTGCTTGTTTGTTTTGCTTAATCCCTTCAGCTAATAGTATTTATTACTGAAGAAAGAAAACATGTTTTATAAATGTGCTGTATTTATAAAGTCTATAATCATGCACAGCAAGCATGTCAAACTCAAAGGCTAACACAGGCCAAGTAAACAAGGTTTAAGTTTATGTGGGCTGCACAAAAACAAAAGCTTCATTTTTATAGAAACATAGGCTTATTTTGATAGAGACACGCTGAATACAAAGGGCTGAAATAAATGAGTAATCGTTAACATAAAATAATAAAACATTTTAATAAAAATTAATATTTTTTCTTGAACATTAACTTACCAGATACTGAGTAACTGCACAAATTAATAAGTGTAATGTAAATAAACCTACTTTTCTTATTCTTTGAAAACAAAATATTTCCTATTGTGTACACCAAACAAGTCAGTCCAAGATTAATGAGTGGCAATCAGCTGCTAAAATATTCGCTGCTGGTATTAGTGGAGAGAAATGGTGCACCTGCACATAAGGCGCATAAGGGAAATGAATGCAACACGATTATAGTAATCAGTCATTAGAGAATGTTGTAGTTTGTTATTGATAATTATGTATAACAGGATATTGTAAAAATTAAGTTACGAACATTTATAAAAATGTTTCTTACATACCGTTATATTGGCTGGGCCAAAAAAATATTGGTTGTGGGCCGCATGTGGCCTGTGGGCCATGAGTTTGACATGCTTGATGTACACTAATGTCCTAGTAGGCCATCAAATCCCCTCACCACTCACTCACTGACTCACCCAGAGCAACTTCCAGTTCTGCAAGCTTCATTTATGGTAAGTGTCCTACACAGGTGTATCATTTTTTAATTTTTATGACATATTTTTATTGTACCCTTTACAATTGCCTGCAGTATTAGGTACAGTAACATACTATACAGGATGTAGCCTAGGAGCAATAGGCTATACCACATAGTCTAGGTATGTAGTAGGCTATGCCATCTAGGTTTGTGTAAGCACATCTGATAATGTTTGCACAGTTTTCAGAATGCATCTCTGATGTTCAGCAGCACATGAGCATATTACCAATGACATAAATTTCAGCATGACCAATAGCTGATTTTTATTATAAATTCTGAATTAATAGAGTCCAAATGAATGAAATTTCCTCTAGCTTTTTCATTATATTATTATATTATATTATATTATATTATATTATATTATATTATATCATATTATATTATATTATATTATATGTCTATACATATCATATAATATATTAAAAAGAAATACAATCCATGGACAATCTCTTAGGCTAGAGAAAACAGTAGTTTCTAGAATCAAAGGTTGTTTTAATATTTTTTAGGTAGAGAGGCTGAAATACACTGAAATCGATTTTCCCCCTAAAGTAAAATTATAAAAGAGGAACAGCGAAGGAGTTTCAGTTTTGATTTTGCCTCATTGGAACCATTAATAGCAAATAGTTTCATTCTTCTCAGATATTCCCCCTGACCACCATCCTTTTCCTCTTTGCCTTCTCTTTCTTTTCCCCTTTCTATTTCCTCTAAATAGCATAATGACCAGAGAATATGACTGAATTTAATAATTTCTCTCAACTCTAGGTCAAGGTCAATCCTTCTTATTAACCCCCATCTGTCTCTTCTGCTGGCTTCCCTTCACCTTCTAGAAAGTCTGCTTTCAGGTGGGCGGCTCCTGCTTCCTCTTGGACAGAGCAAAACAGAGCAATGGCTGCAATTTTCCTGAAATGTCATAAGGCCAGACTAGGGGAATCAGTGCCCTGGAGTCTTCTGTGTCTCTATCATGATGCTATCAGTGCATTCTGAGCACCCTGGGAGACTCCGCAATAGAGTAGAACCAGCTTTGAAGTTAGAAAGACCTCAATGCAAATCAATTCTGACCACTACTTACTAGCTTTTTGACCAGAAAGTCAACAAACCCTATGAGCATGCTTCCTCATCTGTGAAACAGAGATAATAATATCTACTTTAACAGGAAGCACGAGTAAAAAATCTGCTACTTAGTAAGTACTTAACACATTTTGGTCCATTCCTCCCCTTTTCCACAATAATGATTCTTTTAGTAGAAAATAACTCTTTAAAATGTCACCTCTTTCTTGATGCACGGAGGTAAGGCTGATCCCTTGGGACTTTCCATAGGATGCACTGACACGGCAGTGAGATATTCAGGAATATACCGCTGCCTGAATATATATATATATATTTTAAATATATTTTATTGATTTTCCACAGAGAGAAAGAGAGAGGGACAGAGAGTCAGAAACATCGATGAGAGAGAATCATCCATCAGCTGCCTCTTGCACACCCCCTACTGGGGATGTGCCTGCAACCAAGGTACATGCCCTTGACCGGAATCGAACTTGGGACCTTTTAGTCCACAGGCCGATGCTCTATCCACTGAGCCAAACCGGTTTCGGCCTGCCTGAATATATTTGTGTCTTAACAAGGACTTCCAAGATATAAATTTTTTATGTGGCAAGGACAGTGCTAGTGTTGATTTCTGTATTATGTTCTGGGGAATCTAAACATTCTCTGAGGCATCTCAAGAAGTTTCTGAAAGCATGATAATGGGAGATACGCTTCATTTCTGCCTGCTCTGTGGCCTACAGACTCCATGTCGATAATATATACATTAGTCATTAGCATTCAATTGTACTGTTTACATAGAAAAAGCATGCAGGGTTCTATGAGATCACAAGTCTATAGATAAAGTCATTCTATATAGCTTTTTCTTTGTCTTGAAATATTGTACATATGAAATAAGTTAAACATTATCTTTAATTTTAAACTCTTTTTGTCAGGTTAAGAATACATATGATCTTTGACTGAGCAATTATATTCCTGGGAGTCTTTCCTAAAATATCCTCACA